TGCCATAATCTTTGAATGCCAATTTCAGACACACTTCTAAACCCCTGTGTTCCATGGCCATCAAGAGTTGGAACTGAGAAGAAAATCAGCGGCAGGGTTGTGGTGCAGCGGGTTAAACTGCTGCTTGCCACGCTGATACCCCATATTGGAGAGTATGAATCCCCGCTGCTCTGCTTCCGATCCAGCTTCCTGCTAATGCACCTGAGAAGGCAGAGCATGGTGGCCCAAGTGCTTGGGATCCTGCCACCCGTGTGGGAGACCCAGATGGGGTTCTGAGCTCCTGACTTCGGCTTAGACCAGCCCCAGCTGTTTGTGGCCATTTGGGGAGTAAACCAGCAGATGGAAGTTTCTCTCTCTCTCTGGCACTCTTTCAAATAAATAAATCCAAATCAAAAACAAAACAAAACACCAAAAAAATCAAGCATCTGTTCCAAGTTGCTTTTATTTTTTAAATTGCCTGATTTCAATCATGGAAATGGTACCATATAATATTAAAATCAGAGTGATGCCATATTGTTCGCTTCTGTCTTTAGGTAGGGTAATGTTTCATTCAAACATTCCTGAATACCTGGATATGGCCTATCATCTATCAGCCCTGTTGAAGGAATGTCCTACCTTAGAACAGACAAGAGGAGAAAGCCAAAGAGCCTTGGATTAGACACAGGGCCATTTGAATATTTACAACATCATTTTTGGGCCATGCAAAATTGTCAACTTAAAAATTAGCCTGCTATAGATTTTGTCGCTCCCCGTCTTCGCGGAGGAACGACACAGGACCCTGCACTGTTCTTTCGTCTGCTCGGCCCTCCCCGGGTTTACTGCTGGTTCTTCCCGGGTTGGCTGCCGTCCCTTCCACCCCGTGGAAGGGCGGTTCCCCCTGCCACTTTCCCCACTTCCGCGGGGGAGCGGCACACCGCTGGCCGGCTCTCTCGGGGGCTGCACAGGTGTTCCTTCAGATAGATGTTTCCCTTAGATGTTCCTGGTGCATGTTGTCTCTCTCCTCCTTTATAGTCCTCTTCCACCAATCCCAACTCTGCTACCCACATGCCGAGTACGCTGCTCTCCTCCAATCAGGAGCAGGTCCTGCAGCTTATTGGTTGAACTGGAGGTAGCTGTGTAGAAGCTGTTTCCTCCTCTCCCAGCGCCATATTGTGGGAGAGCAGATGCATAGAATAAGTCTTAATTCCAGTAACTTAGTCTAGTCTGAGTTGCTCCCAGTTGCTCCCCACAGATTTACTGAATTTCAAATCTTTTCTGTAGTTGCATTGGCAGGGTCAGACCAAATGAATTTATAAGGCCCACAGGCGGGACATTCCCGCCCCTGGGTTAGGAGACACCCTCACCACTGATGAGGGTTAACGCAGGAGAAGGGCTTCCAAGAGAACTCCTGCAGGGGGCGCGCCCCTTTGCCAAGCTTTCATCATGAGAAAATGCAGTGAATCTTTCTAACACCTGCTTCTGCATATCAATGATTTCTTTCTCATGTGTTATAGAACCCAGTGTTTCTCCACATACTTTAGGGCTATGGCACTTATTTGACGCAAATCTCAGGTTATTCTTTTTAATAAAAAAACAGGTTTCCATATTGCTGAAAGAGGTAATGCCAACGTTTAACATTTGAAAAGGGGCCGCATGTTAATCTGAGGTTAAGTCATGGTAGTGTGGATTTCATCACTCTTCTCCTGCTGCCATCTTTGTCAGCGAGGTGCAAGCCCAGGTTTCACAGGGAATCACTTGAAAACCACTCTTCTCGAAGCTACTTCCCTGCAGGGACTTTAGTGGTAGTGTACAATCAAAATGACCCAGAAAGTACCTGGATGCTGAGGCTTCTGGAACAGTGACTGTTGCCCACTCCCCTCCCCCAAATTCAGTATTTTTGAGCATAAAGCAATAGAGCTGAGAGCCAGCAGTGCTAAGGCCAGGCCGGCATCCTCACCAGGCTGGTTCCCATTGGTTTCAACTGTGTCTTTGCCTCCAGAGTCCCCTGCATCTGTCCCATTTCCTGAGCCTCCTCTCCAGACTTCCAGTTATTATTTTACCCACCCAATTTCCTTCCAAAAACTTTTCTGTTGAAAACAAATCAAAATAAAACAAAACCCAAGACAACAAACCAGCCTCATCTGTTTTTTTTTTTTTTTTTTTTTTTGACCTATAATCTTTAAAAATTTGGACTTGGGGACCAGCATTGTGGCACTGTTGGTTATTCTTTAAAAATTTGGACTTGGGGGCTGGCGCTGCGGCTCACTTGGCTAATCCTCCGCCTGCAACGCTGGCACCCCAGATTCTAGTTCTGTTTGGAGCGCCAGATTCTGTCCCGGTTGCTCCTCTTCCAGGCCAGCTCTCTGCTGTGGCCCGGGAGTGCAGTGGAGGATGGGCCAAGTGCTTGGGCCCTGCACCCACATGGGAGACCAGGAGGAGGCGCCTGGCTCCTGGCTTCAGATCTGTGCAGCGCGCCGGCCATAGCGGCCATTTGGGGGGTGAACCAGCGGAAGGAAGACCTTTCTCTCTGTCTCTGTCTAACTCTGCCTGCCAAAAAAACAACAACAACAAAAAACAAACAAACAAAAAACACTTGGACTTGGGAACCTCTGGCTGTGACACTGGCATCCTATATCTGAGTACCAGTTCGAGTCCTGGCTGCTCCTCTTCTGATCCAGCTCCATGCTAATGTGCCTGGGAAAGCGGCAGAAAATGGCCCAAGTTCTTGGGTCCCTGCCCGCCATATGGGAGGCCAGGATAGAGTTCCTGGCTCCTCTCTTGGTTTCAACCTGGCCCAGTCCCAGCTGTTACAGACATTTGGGGGATGAATGGCAGATGGAGCGTTTCTCAGTTTCTCCCTCTCTCTCCATAACTCTGCCTTTTAAAGAAATCTTAAAAAAAAATAGGTAATTGTTTTAAAAAAGTTTGACTTAATAAATGCTTATCAATACAAGTTTCAGCCTACTCTGTGTGTTAGGGCTCTGTGGCAGACTTTGAAAATGATTCCAATGTTTTCTAAATTCGGATTTTTAAAAAAAGATTGAGTGATTTGTTTGAAAGGCACGGTAACAGATTATCTTTGTCTTGCTGGTTCACTCCTCAGGTTCCTGCAGCACCAGGCAGTGGGCCATGGCAAAGCCAGGAGCCAGGAACCCCAGCAGGGTCCCCCATTTAGGCGGCAGGGTCCCAAATCCATGGGCCACATCCACTGCCTCCCAGGCACCTTAGCAGGGAGCGGGATCGGAAGCAGAGGAGCCGGCACTCAAACCAGGCACTGCCGTCTGGGATACCAGGATCCCAGTCAGCCCAGGGCACCACAACGCCCACTCCTCGATTTAATTTATGCTGTCACCTCCTGGCTTCCCAGTTTAACCTCGCTCTCTCATACCTGTATAAACAGAATCACATCACATCTCCACTTAGAACCTTTAAAAAAAAATAGATTTTATTTAGTTATTTAAAAGGCAGAGTTACAGAGAGGCAGAAAGAGAGAGAGAGAGAGAGAGAGAGAGAGAGAGAGAGAGGTCCTCCATCCACTGGTTCACTCCCAAGATGGCCACAACGGCCGGAGCTGGGTCTTTTAGAAACTATTATCTAACAGGAAATCCTATTCAAAATTCAAAGTATTTGCATGATTACAAGGCCCTTCAAGATCTGGCACATACGCGTGGGTGTTTACGCAGTGTCTGTGGGCTGACGCAAGAAAAATGAGAGGACAGAAAAGCCAGCCACGGCATCTCACACCACCTGGAGTTTTCAACCACGACGGCCCTTGTTACGTGGTACTGACACGCAACTGCCTTTCCGGACTCGCGGCCTTCACCACACAAGAGCCGTTCAGAATGAAGAGGAATTGCTTCCCGGGCCAGCCGGCTGCTCCGCGCCTCATCCGGTTCCCTGCTCACGTGTCCGGAAAGGCCCCGGATGCTGGTGGCCCAGCACCCTCACGGGAGACCCGGATCTGGGAAGGCCCCGGATGCTGGTGGCCCCAGCACCCACGCGGGAGACCCGGATCTGGGAAGGCCCCGGATGCTGGTGGCCCCAGCACCCACGCGGGAGACCCGGATCTGGGAAGGCCCCGGATGCTGGTGGCCCCAGCACCCACGCGGGAGACCCGGATCTGGGAAGGCCCCGGATGCTGGTGGCCCCAGCACCCTCGCGGGAGACCCGGATCTGGGAAGGCCCCGGATGCTGGTGGCCCCAGCACCCACGCGGGAGACCCGGATCTGGGAAGGCCCCGGATGCTGGTGGCCCCAGCACCCACGCGGGAGACCCGGATCTGGGAAGGCTCCGGATGCTGGTGGCCCCAGCACCCTCACGGGAGACCCGGATCTGGGAAGGCCCCGGATGCTGGTGGCCCCAGCACCCACGCGGGAGACCCGGATCTGGGAAGGCCCCGGATGCTGGTGGCCCAGCACCCTCACGGGAGACCCGGATGGAACTCCCCACTGCGGCCTGGCCCAGCCCCAACCCAAGCGGCCATTTGGGGAGTGACCCAGCGTTTGGAAGGTCTCTCGCTCTGTCTCTCTCTGCCTTTCAAACAAATAAATTAAAAAAAAATTTTTTTAAGGAAATGCTTCTTTAGAAAGAAAGCGTGTCTGTGGGGCACTACCTCAAGAAGCTGCAACGTTTGAGAAAAGCTTTTATTAAAGCGATAGATCGGTAATGAGTGATGGTGCGTCATGAAGGCTGTTAACTACGTGGGGGCGCTTATTTTCCAAAATAAACTTTTTCTTTTGAACTTGGGGTCTCGGCTTTTAACTCCCTCTCCTGAAGACACCCTGAGGGGCTTCAACACTGCAGCCCAGGGTCGACCTTCACCTTCCTCACGGGATGGCGCCTCCCTGAACGTGTCCCCCACCCAGGTCACCACTGCCCACCGGAGGTCCCACGGCCCAACCCTCCTGCCCCCTCCCGCGCCGCTCCTCCGTGCGCACGCGCCGCGCGCACGCGCGCCCCGGGGCTCTCGCGCGCCGCCCGTTGGGGGGTCCCGGCCGGGGGGCCCAGGGGGGCCCGGCACCCGAAGGAACGCTACCCCGCGGCGTCCGCGGGCACGGGCGGGCGGGCGCGCCGGCCATGGAGGCCCTGCGGAGGGTCCACGAGGCCGCGCTGCGGCTGCTGCTGCTGCCGCTGTCCGGCCCCTGGGCTGCGGGCGCCGCCTCCCGCCCGAAGCCCCGCGCGTCCGAGGTGCTGACGCGGCACCTGCTGCAGCGGCGCCTGCCGCACTGGACCTCCTTCTGCGTGCCCTACAGCGCCGTCCGCAACGACCAGTTCGGCCTCTCGCACTTCAACTGGCCCGTGCAGGGCGCCAACTACCACGTCCTGCGCACCGGCTGCTTCCCCTTCATCAAGTACCACTGCTCCAAGGCCCCCTGGCAGGACCTGGCCCGGCAGAACCGCCTCTTCACGGCGCTCAAGGTCGTCAACCTGGGTGAGCGCCGCCCCGCGTCGCCCCCCGCAGGCGCCCGCGTCCCCCGGCCCGGCCCTGCCCCTCGGACCCCCGAGCTCCCGCCCGGGGTGCCCCGTCCGGCCCGCGTCCGCCGGGGAGACCCAGCGAGAGGGGTGCGCGGAGACGCCGCCCCCGGCCCGCCGACGTCCGCAGCTGCTGGCGGGGCGGCGGCGGTGAGGAAGCCGCGGCTGCTGTCCAGGTTTCTTTGTTTTCTTGCTGTGAAACCCCCAGCGCGTTGGTTTTACCGCAGACGCCCCGCATTCCCGCCCGACGCGGGTGCTAGGCCTCTGCTCGCTGCTGCTTGCGAGTTTCCGTGGAAATGTCTCAATTCTGGGAGTGTTTGCTCTCCCCGGAGAGCTCTTTCCTTTTGAAATAATGAGGGAAGCACGCGTGAGCCTGGACAGGACCAGGGAAACGTATACGTTTTTATTAAAAAAAAAAAAAAAAAAAAAAAAGCCTACATCTCAATAATTCAGAATCTGGACTTGGCGGCTGAACACGTGACCCAAGCCGGTTTTTTTTTTAAATTTTTTCATTTTTTAAAATTTTTTTTGGGGAGCCAGGTTGGAAGCCGAGGCCCTGTGCGGCTGCGCTGTGAGGTTTGCATGGGGCCTGTGTGTTTTTGCTCTGTCGGTCATGGGGTCTGGAGCCCTTGCTGCATGCCCAGGGACCGCGCTGAGCTGTGTCCAGGAGGGGAGGATGGTGTAGCAGCCGTGGTCCTTTACAGATGTGCTTATCTCGCGGTGAGCTCCAGGGACCGTGCAGGCAGAGCCACCTCTCCTGAGACTGACCGGAAGTTGAAGGGCGAGGTGACTTAGAAGATGCAATTCAGTATTATTTAGGGAGACTGGCGGGATGACTGGATTCAAGAATAAGTTTAGTCTAGCATTTTCAGAATCGGAAGAATTCTCGGGAAAAGTAAACCAGGAATAACTGAATGGCTTGTTTAGAAAAGTTGTCACAATTGAAAAACATAGCGTTTGAGGTCACTGTCATGTTCAGGGGCTTCTGTATTCAGATATGCATATTAAAAACATTTTTTTAAAGTAGGATAATCCCCAGAGCATTCGCTATGTAGAAAAGCAAAGCCTTCTGAGAAAAGAAACAAGTTTTTGTAGTTTTTTTTTTTTTTTAATATGAGTGATTTGATTGTCCTCTGGAAATTCTGAAAATCCTGCTCAAATAAAGAATTTCGAATAGAACAAAGAGGAAAACTTTTTACTCTTCATGCTTTGATACAGATTGGCCTACCCTGTTACAGGGACATTTTTTCTGGGCTTTTTGGAAGGAATGCCTCAGCCAGTGTGATGATGTTTCCGTTTTGTGTCTGTGTGAATTGGATGAAGGGTTCCTTCCCTGTCCTGGGATGGATAATCCCCCCCCCCCCCCCATCAAGTTCATATTCTACTAATAAGAGCACTGAGAGAGTCTACTCCTCCTCCCTTCCACATTAGTGATTATCAGAGGCCCTCATTTTTCCGTTTTGTAAATAATGAAGATCTCTGGGTGCACTCGTGCTGGCTCTCTGCGCTCCCTTCAGTGGAAGCTGACATTTTACTGATGGTTTGTCAGCCTGGGCGTCCTGCTGGGAAGTAGATTGAGATGGAGGAAAAGCAGCTTACCACTGGAATGAATGGGTAATTGGAGACTTACTACCAAGTTCTAATTTTTTTTAAGTGCTTAATTTGACAGTGGTTTACCTACTGTTCAGCTGACTCAAAATGAATTATTATGCAGAGAATTGACTTTCAAGTTCATTTTGGTGTTATGATGGGTTTCAAATAGTTTGGAAAAATGTTAATTTTTCTAGGACTCTTACAGACTTTAAAGCACATATGTTAGAGATGGAGCAGCTTTTTTTTAAGTGCATAAATGACATAGGTGGCAAATTTTCCCATTGAATGTGTTAGTTTGCATTAAATAAATAGATGGCTAAAAAAAAAGAATTTCTGACTGATAATATGACAACTCTTATTCCTGATCATGGTTCCTAGTTGTTTTTAATAAGAAATAATGTAGTTATTAGTAAACTAGTAGTCTGAGCAGTCCTCCATTTTATCTGAAAAAAATATTAACCATCCCTGTGATTTTTTTAATTGTGAATTTTTTAGTACAAGTGTTTAACTGAAAGCTGATAAATATTATAAAACCAAAATTCTCAATGTTGCTCACCATCCATTCTTTAGATTCTTAACATTGGATTATTAATCATATAGTATAAATCTTACTGTCAGTATGTTTAGAAAATTAGCAGTTTCTCCTAGGGCCCTTTTTTTTCTTCCATACTCCATTGGTATTCACCTTGTGGAGCTGTGACATTGCATTAAAAGAATATTTTTTTATTTCAGTTGCTTCTGCTGCTCTTTCCTCACTTCTGCCTCTCCATGTTCTTGTCCACCTTCCTGCCACTTTTTTTCTCTCCTTTTTGGATAAATTATTTATAAATTGCTTTATTATTGTGATTTTTCATGGATTTTTTTTTGGGGGGTAACATTCCCTTGAGACATTCAGAGAATCTTTGGGCATTACTAGGGCAAAGAAGGCCATGTACTGTGCAGTTTTCATAGGAGTCGGGTGTCCAGGGAGCCCTGGATAATGACACCCTGTGACCCAGTCTGTTCCTAAAAACAGGGAGATGCCAGCTGACATGGATTTTTTCTCTTCGTCCTCTGTGAGGCATCACAGCGGCCGGAAGGCAGCGCACAGGGGCCCAGCACAGTCACACGCTGCAAGTGGGCAGAGCTCAGCAAATGGGCTCTTGTGGAAACACAAGGGAAAAGTGAGCACTTTGATCAATCCTGAGTGTATGTTGATTTCCCTGTTACCTAGAAGAAGGTGATTTTCCGGTTGTACAGCTGTTCTTTTAAATTGTCACATTCTGTCCATTTCCCATTCAGAGCAACAAAATTAATACTTGTGCAGAGCCTACAGTGTTTGTTACAGATTCGTGTGCCTGTGGTTTTGTACATACCTTTATAACATGTTCATAGTCATTGATTTCAAATAGGTGCCTTGAGAAAAGATAGAAATCATGAAAGTTTGTTTTGTGCCTAACACAGTATCCGTGTCTGGGAATGCTTAATCCCTGCTCTGATCTCAAGGCAGCAAAGTCTGAGCAACGGTGAGACCCTAAAGAAGGGATGCACATTGGAGTCTCCTGTAGCCCCCTTCGAAGAGGTTGAATCCAGGTTGTTTTCAAACCCATGGTAAAGACACTAATGAGAATGTTTCTTATGCCTGTTAGGCTAAAATCCTCTCCAGAGTTAGGTTTTGCCTTAGGTTTTAAAGACGGCTATGTGACCCAGTTTCTTTTCCTTCTAACTTGTACAAAAATTACTTTAGCCATCAGTGTTAATATCTAGCTTAAAGATCAGTAATGCTGACCTATTAATTTCAGCTCAAGGCTTATCATCAGAAACATTTGCAAGTAAATTAATGAATATTCTTCTCTGATTGCTTGTTTGCGAAAAGAATATAGAATGACTTCGTAAAATTATTTGAAGGTGATGAATTAGTGAAGTGCTTTGAATTAAATTCAGCCTTCTCCATAGCTTTAAAAATGTTTAGGCTCACATATGTGCCGCCAGGTTCCTCAAACTTAGATGAGACGGAGTTCTGAGATAACCATAGGGTGAGTGTCAAGTCCTCTCTGATCATCCGTGTAACTTTATAATCTGTTGACATTGCGGAAGAGCGTTACGTGATTGGGAATGTGGGTGCATGATGAATGAGTATTGCTGTTTGGAAATAACCTGCCTATTTGTTTTCTAGGTATTCCAACTTTGCTGTACGGGCTAGGCTCCTGGCTGTTTGCCAGGGTCACAGAGACTGTCTATACCAGTTATGGACCTATAACAGTTTATTTTCTGAATAAAGAAGATGAAGGTGCCATGTACTGACAGTGTGCCTGGGAGGATGTAAACACCTGGCTTTTTCTCTTGTGTGTATATGCAATATTTATTTTTGATCCCTTCAAAATAAAACTTTTGCAAACACCTTTCTCCTTCTGCTTTGTCTGGTTCTTGGAGATGGGTCACTCCAGAGGCAGAGGTTTTCTGGCCTTGTTATGTACGGCATCCCCTGGTTAGCTGATGGGGACTACGGACGCTTGAAGTATCACACCAGCGTTTTCCTAGAACTAGGTTAAACTACAGATGAAAAATGACTATGATGGATCTAGGTGCTGTAGTTAGTATTAATAGTTTAAAGCAACTCTGAAGAGCAAATACAGATGCTTGTACTGAAAAGAGGGGTAATTATTTTACATAACACTGGAGAAACAAGTAGAGGCTATTAGGACACATGATGAAGATAATATAAGAGGGTGAACTGGATGAGAGTCTGATTGCAGTGTGAAATGTAAGCCACGTGGCTGCCAGGCTTTCTGGTGAAAATGTTTGGGAAGCCTTGTGCCATTCGCCTGGAGGAGGTGATGGGGGCTGCGGGGTGGACGTGCAGACCTCTTGTTTGAAGACTCCAACACCATAGTACTTTTATAAAAAGTCACAGCAATGGTGGCTCACCTAGGGGCAGCAAGGGGAATGCGGTCAAGACTCACTAGAAGGTGAACTAGCGGGCCATTGCAGCTGCTTGGGCAGGCCCAGAAAAATAAATCTGGTAATTGTTTATAAAAGCAATTAACTGAAATGGTACCCATCCATAGACATTGGCCATGGGGAGTGGGCTGAAATTTTAAAGACCCAACGGCACTTCTGCATTAGAATTTTATTAAGTTAATTGCATTTTTGAAAGCAGAGTCATTAAAAAAAATTTATCCTTGGGGGTAGTCACAAAATACCCTGACGAATGGTAAATTTCAGAAATTTGGAGTAATTTAGGGAGAACTAAGTATTACTATTTAATTTCTAAACCAATGGGTGTTTAAGATTTATGATCTCTCCCATAATTACAAACATACATTATATATCATTTTATGTTAATGTGTTGCTGATACTCAGCAACATTTATGCATTTTCATGGCAAAACGTTTTATAAAATGTAGCCTCACCGACTTTTGGATGCTTTCTCCTGGCAAGTGAGTGGGGAAAGTGAGTGGAAGTGATTGAGGTGCAAGCTTCAGAATAATTGAGCAATGCAAACTGGGTTGGTAAAGGTAGTCATTTGAAGTGCACCACGGAGAGTGAACAGTTCTTCCAATGTATGTAGTGTTTGCTTGTCTAAAAGCAATTCTGAATAACACTTTAATCAAAGAAGTACTTACGCCAATATATTTAGTCCAGAAGAATATCCTTGACATTAGTTAAATGAATGGCTTCCACAAAGGAGATAGTGTTACATTAAGCTTCATTAATAATAAAACTGACTGATTAGCATTTTGCAAGGAAGGCTAGAACTGATTTCCTCTGTAGTGGGCAAAGTTAAATAACTATAGCTCATAAGTTTTAAGTCAAATACCTCTCATTCATTGCTGCTGGTCTCGTCAATACTTCCGTTAAAAGCTTTGGTTCCAACACAAGGCTGATAAAATGGGTTTTAATTACCAGGCTATAAATACAGCTTTTCAGTCGAGTTGCACCTCTTTTCACACTGGCCCGTTTGATTTCTGATAATTTGCACTGCTGACGCTGCTCACCTGTTTTTCGATAGTTAGAGCCAGTGTGACTTGTTGTCCATATGGTGATAGGTGGGTCTCCTTGGAGAACATCTTTGACAAACTGCCTTATTGATCTCTGTAATTCTCTGCTGCTTGCAGCATTAAATAGAGCCTTGATTTCTTGTCTGGTTTGCTCACTGTGTGACAATTAAGCAAATGTACTATTTTCTTGTATTACATGAAAATCGATAGACCCCTTGCTCCTGAGGAGTTGAGCAGAGTGAAGGATGAGGGTGAACTCGGTGATGGCTGGGGTCATAGTTCAGAAATTAAAACATCGTCCGTGGCATCCAAGTCCTGGAGTGAATCCTTTAGTCTGAAAATCGCTTCCCATGAATAGCAGTGCTTTATGTTTTGTCCTTTAAAGTTGTGCACACTAGCAAAAAGGTGAAAACGAAGCATCGCGGCCCTAAAGGGATAAAGTGTAAATGATGGAATTGAGAAGTGGAGCCTATATTTAGTGTCAGTGCTGTATTACTTTTTGACCTGAGACCAATACTCTACTCTCTGATCCTGTGCGTCTTAAGTTTTTCCATCTGTAATCTGAGAACAAAACAAAAGACCTTTCTACTTAAAATGTTATCATGAAAATGCTTGTATCTCAGTGAAAGCTCTGTTTTTGTAATCTTCATTCTTCTGTTTCAGATGTTTACATTTAAAATAACTCATCAATGAAAGATTTTCAAAAGTAAGGTGTATGGGAAGACCCTTGGTGTCTGGCGTGAGCGAGTCTGCACATGCCTACCTGTCCCCCAGTGGCAAAGAAGGATCCGAGTGGTCTCTGTCTTTCTGGAGATCAGGAGTTTTTTTCAGTTAATGAAGCCTTAATTTGAGTTTTCTGCCTATACTTCTTTAATGGGCTTTGGTCTTTAAAATAATGCAGGCAAAACTTTTTTTTTTTTAAAAAAAGATGTGCTTTTAGTGTACAACTTTGCGTCTCTTCCCTTGTTATTTCTGTACAAAACAGTGATGGAGCATTGGAAGAGATTTCTAGAGTTTCTGCGTAAGTTGTGAACCACTGGAAAGAAGCAGTAATGTGCTGGGAGCATTAACGAGGTTGCCCATGGGGAAGTCCCTCATTTGTCACTGTTGATGTCCTAACATATCAAAAGGACAGTTATAATTTTTCTCATCACACAAATTTAGTCATTAATTTGATGTTTTGCCAATTGTTGACAGTAAATACTGGAGCATTTTAAATTATTGCCCATATTTATTTTAAAGTATATTTTATTACATGCCATTTTAAGCTCAGCTGTAATTAGAAAGCACAAAACACCTCTTAATTCTTCCTGAAATATCTTCTGATTGTACTGAAGAATGAATAATTGTTTAAATGAGTGGGATGACATAAAAGGCAAGGATCTTGGTTCCGCTCTACTTCAGAGCTAATGCAGATAACAGAAACCTTATCCTAAAGCTGCTAGATCAGGTGTCTGCTTTTTTTCATCACTTACCCTTCAGACAGTAACGGCGTTTGGGGGCATCTTTACCTAAGCAGGTACTTCGCATTACATCTCACCTCGGTCAACAGTCTAGGGTGTCGGAGTTAAACTGTGTTACTGTAAATTAATGGAAAATGTAACCGCACTTTGCTGAAAGATCAATGTCCAATAAAGGCTGCACAATCAAATCTTGTTGCAATGATTGAGGTCTTTAATTGCCTTTCAAAGATAAGGTGGTAATCAACACAGCTTTAACTGATCTTTTTTACTAGTTCAATTACATGCTAATGACTAGTGCCAAGTCAGAATCTTTAACTACTTATACTTATTAAATCTTATGTTAGTGATGAAAAATGACTTGAGCTATACAATCGATAGAACACAAATCTTACTATACTTTCATGCCATTTTACATGCTTGACAAATGTTTCACAGAGCTTTCCCAACAATAAATGTTATTCTTAGTGACCACAGTGCACAGAGGATTCTTAAAATATCAATTTGGAGATTAGATGTTGAATTAGTTTTATTTTAACAAAATTGCAGTTAAAGTAGTTAGCTATTATACTTGGCCAACTGGCTAATAATCAGAATTCTGTCCTAATTGAGGGTACTGACACAACTGGGATAAGATGAATTTGGGTGATTTTTTTAAAAAAGTGTACTTCTAAAAATTAGCTTTTAGTAGATGATCTGTGATCTCTCAGACTACAAAATTACCATACTTTGGGAAAGGATACAAGTAAAAGCAAATAATAAAAATATAGCTAAATTGGATTTCATCAAAATTAAAACCTTTATGTTTTAAAGGACACTATCAAAATGAAAACGCACAGAATGTGAGGAGATATTTGTGGTTTATATATCTGATAAGGGAGTTCTATCCAAAATATATAAAGAACTCAAAACAGCATTATTGAAAACTGGATTTGAGCAGACATTTCTCCAAGGAGATATATAAATGGCTAATAACACCTGAAAATATATTGAAAATTAATAACTAGGGCAATGCAAATCAGACTCATGATGAGATCCCATGTCGTATCCACTAGGATGACTTAATACAAAAAGCAGATGAGCAAAGATGTGGAAACATTGGAACCCTCACACATAGCTAGTGGGGATGTAACCTAATGAGGCAGCCTTGGAAAAGTTTGGAAGTTCCTCAAAATATGAAACATGGGATTACCATGTGATGCAGTAATTCTCCTTGGTATCCTAGAGAATTGAAAATGTATATTCACACAAACAGTTCTACACAAATGTTCATATCAGCATTGTTCACACTAGCAAAAAAGTGAAAACAGCTCTCCATTCATGGATGAACACACAAAATGTGGCATTGTCACACAATGGAATATCATTCAGCCAGAGGAAGGAGGAGGGTGGCCACTTGTGTTCTGTATCAGACAGCCTGGCTGAGGCCTGGTTCCTGTGCTGCTGATCCAGCTTCCTGTTGATGTGCAGATGATGGATCAAGCACCTGGGTCCCTGCCACCCAGATGGAGTTCCTGGCTCCTGACCTTGGCCTGGTCGAGCCCTGGTTGTTGCAGGTGTTTGGGGAGTAGGCCAGTGAATGGAAGATACCTGTGTCTCTTTGCCTTCCATATACCATGGACATCAATGTATTTTTTTAAAAATTAAAAAGGAGGAGGGATAAAGTCCTGACACATGATACAGCATTGATGAAGCTTGAGAACATCGTGCTAAGTGAAAGAAACTGGTCAGAAGAAACACACACTGCATAATTTATTGTATATGAAGTGTCCAGAATGGGCAAATCTGGTGAGATGGAAAGTAGACCAGTGGTTTCCTAAGGCTGGGCGATTGTTCAGAAATCGGGAATGACTGTTAATAGGTATGGGGTTTCTTTTGGAGGAGATGAGACATTTAAAACTGCAGTGATGGTTGCACAATTCTGTGACTGTATGCAAACCATCA